TTTCATTTTGGTACAGACACTGTATATTCCTTCCATTTATTTTGATACTTTCTGCATCATTCAATATTTTGTTCATTGTTGTTGTTAAATTAAGTGCCATAGAGTTGGTACCAACCCATAGTGACCCTGTTTAGGGTTTCTGATTGCAAGTGGAAGCTTGAATTTTTTTCTTCAGTTCTTTCAGCCTGAGAAATGCTGAGTATGTTCTTCTCTTTTGGTTTTCTAATTCCAGGTCTTTGCACATAGCATTATAATACTTTACTTTGTCTTCTCAGGTTGCCCTTTGAAATTTTCTGTTCAACTGTTTTACTTTTACAATTTTTCCATTCACTTTAGCTAGAGAGCAAGTTTCAGAGGCTCTTCTGATATCCATTTTGGTCTCCCCTCCCCTCCCCGTGTCTTTTTAATGACCTTTTGCTTTCTTCCTGTATAATGTTCTTGATGTCATCCCACAGTTCCTCTGGTCTTTGGTCATTAGTGTCTAATATATCACATCTGTTCTTGAGCTGATCTCTAAATTCAGGTGGAGTATGTTCAAGGTCACACATTGGCTCTTATGGTGGTGTTGGTTGCATGCTGTTGACATGGTTCTGATTTCAACTCAAAGCAACACTGTATAGGGTTTCTGAGGCTGTATATCCTTACAGGAGCAGAAAGATGAGGCTTTCTCCCATGGAGTGGCTGGAAAATTCTAACTGCTGACCTTGCAATTAGCCACCAACTCAACCCAGTATGCTCCTTTTGACTCTTATATGTCATTGTTGTTAAGTACCATCGAGTCGGTTCAGAATCATAGGAGCAGTTAGTGAGTTTGAACCGTTCACATTGTGCTTCAAACTGACCTTGCAGTCCAGTGTTTTAACCTACAGAGCCACACAAACTTATTTTAACTTCCTTCTGCTTCAGCCTGACTTTGTATATTTGCAATTGATGGTCTATTCCACAGTCAGCCCCTAGCCTTCTTTTGGCTGATGTTATTGAGTTTCTCCATCGTCTCTTCCCACAGATGTAGTTAATTTGATTCCCGTGTATTCCATCCACCACCATGTGTTGTCACCTCTTTGTTGTTAAAAACAGTTATTTGCAATGAATAAGTCATTCAATGGTCTTGCAAAATTCTACCATGCAAGATCTAGCATCATTTCTATCACCAAGGCACAACGCTGTATTTTCCAACTACAGATCCTTCTTCCTCTTTGTTTCTAACCTTCACGTGCAAACTACCAATAATTATCAATTCATCTTGATTGCATGCTTGATAAATTTCAGACTGAAGAAGTTGACAGAATGCTTCACAATTTCATCATCACTGGCTTTAGTGGCTGGTGCATAAATCTGAATACCAGTTGTATTAACTGGCTTTCCTTGTAGGTATATGGATGGATTGAAACCACTGTCCTTGTGGGTTAGCTGCCCAATATATAACCCACTATGCTACCAGGGCTCCTTACAGTTCAAATCCACCAGCCACTCCACATGAGAAAGATGAGTATTTCTGTTGCCATAAAGGTTTTCAGCCTCAGAAACCCCATACAGGTGACTATGTGTAGGAACTGACTCCATGGCACATAACCAACACCATCATATATACTATATAATGAAGCAGCCTGGTAGCATAATAAGTTATGCATTGGGCTGTTAATCCACAAGGTCAGCAGTTCAAATCCACAACATATACATTTGTTGTTAATTGTCATCAAGTTGCTTCCAACTCAAAGCAACCTTATAAAGGGTTTCCAAGAGTTTGAACCACCAAACTTGTGGTTCGAACTGACCTTGCAGTTCAGTGCATTATCCTACAGCACTACACCAGGACTCCACAAGATATACATACACACATTGTTGTTGTGTTGTTAAGTGCCATTGAGTCAGTTCTGACCCATAGCGACCCTGTATAGGATTTCCGAGGAGCAGCTGGTAAGCTTGAACCGCTGACCTTGCAGTTCAAATGGCTTTGCAATCTGGTGCATTAAGCATTAACCCACAGTGCCAAACCAGGACTCCACATACACACATACATATACTACATACATACATACTGTTGTTAAATGCGTCATGTCAGTTGTAACTTATAGTGACCCTGTGTGGGATTTGAACCACCGACCTTGTGGTTAGCAGTTCAGTGCTTATCCTACAGTGCCACACCAGGCGTTCATATATGTTTATATATTGTTAAGTGCCATCAAGTCAATGCCGAATCATAGCATCCCTGTACAGAGTTTCTGAGGAGCAGCTAATAGGTTTGAACTGCTGTCCTTGTGGTTCACAGTCCAGGGCTTATCCTATAGCACCACACCAAGAGTCCCTGTAAAATAATAAAAGACTAAAGAGATAAGGATTTACACTGAAAAATATGTTGGATTTCCATCCCTTTTAATAGGGGCTACCCTAGATCCAGCTAACAGCAACTGTTCTCTTCACTAATTCACTCAGCACTATTACAAACACTTTTGCTGGTTTTTAACTTTTATAGCCATGTTGTTGAAAGTGTTGAGGTGTGTCAAACCATAGTTTTTTAACTTTGTAATTCTTTAAGCGGAGCATGGTGGCTCCATACGATAAGCACTGGACTGCAAACCACAAGGTTCATGGTTCGACCTGCCAGCCACTCTGAGGTCTGCTTCTGCAAAGATTGAAAGCCTTGGAAACCCTGTACAGGGTCACTATTGACTCCACTAGATAGCACTCAACAACAATAAAGTGTATCAACTTTCTCAGAACCCAAACAAGTTTCAACGTATTTGCTACAAGTACAATAAGGACCTAAACTGGTTTCATTTTATACAATATTTGCCAATATAAATGCACTTACCACTAGGTGATTTGTTTGTTATTTTCTTTACTAATTGGAGTCCTGGTGTGGCACTGCAAGGTTGGTGGTTCAAACCCACCAGCTGCTCCTAGGAAACCCTATACAGGGTCACTATGAGTCAGAACCAACTCCATGGCACTTAACATCTTTAGTAAACAGCTAATCTTATCTATCCACTTAACAGAAGGAGTCTAGATAAATAAAAAAATCAACCTGCTGCCTGTTGAGTTGAGTCCAACTCATACTAAGCCTACAAGACAGAGTAGAGCTGCCTGATAGTCTCCAATGCTATAAATCTTCACTGAAATAGACTGCCACATCTTTCTCCAACAGAGCAATTGTGGGTTCACCTTTTGGTTATCAGCAAAGCCCTAAATCTGGCTGTTATTTCTGTTGTTAAGTGCCATTGAGTCAGTTCTGACTCACAGTGACTCCCTATAGAGTTTCCAAGGAGCAGCTGGTGGATTTGAACCACTGGCCTTGCGATTCAAACAAATCTTGTGGTCCAGTGCTTATCCTACAGTGCCACACCAGGCCTCCCTAAATCTGAATGTTGTTGTTGTTAAGTGCCGTCGAGTCGGTTCCGACCCATAGCAACCCTGTACAGGGTTTCCGAGGGTGTAAATCTTTACGGGAGTACAAAGCCTCATCTTTCTCCTGCGGAGCGGCTGGTAGTTTCGAACCACTGACCTTAAGGTTCGCAGCCTGATTCATAACCACTACGCTACCAGAATAGTAGCCATATAATCTTATACTAGCCATCCATTCATTCCACAAATATTACTGAGCACTTTGCATTTACAAAGTTTATGGTATTAAAGTTAATAGCCAATTGGCACTGTAGGATCAGCACTGGACTTTTAACCACAAGGTCAGGAGTTCAAAACTGCCAGCTGCTCCTCAGAAATCCTATACAACAGGGTCACTGTGAATTGGAAGGCTCAAAGGCAGTTAAGAACAATAACGAAATAGAATAGCCCTGGGCCTTCTTGAGCTTAGAGTCAATGTTGTTGCAAAGTGCCAAGGAGTTCGTTTCTACTCATAGCAACCCAGTAGAGGTTTTCCAAGAATGGAAACCTTTGCAAGAGCAGAAAGCCTTACCTTTCACCTACAGTCACCAACCTTGTGGTTTAATGTTTATCCTAATAGACCAAGCAGTAGACACAGCAGAGAGGCAACTTGCGGGACTGTTAGTGCTGTCCAGTTGATTTTGGACCCATACGAACCCCTGAGACAAAGAATTACCCCCATAAGATTTTCTAAACTGTAATCTGTAGGTGAGCAGGAACACATCAGATCGTCAGCTTTTTCTCTGCCAAATCAGATTTGGCAGGTTAGCAGCCCAGCATTTAACCCTTGCACCAGCTACTTACAGGGCTAGAAGCCACAAAAAGACCAACCATAGTTGACGCTTTCCCACTACCTAGTTATGTGATCTTGGGGAATGTTCCTTCACCAAGCCTTCTAAACCTCAGTTGTCTGATCTGTAAAATGTTGGTTGGAACCAGGTAATTACATCATCCCCAAATCTGAACAGTCTGAGGCCCCTAGTAATTGGCGATTAGTGACAAAAGCAGCCCATTACACTTTCTGCTCTCAGCACTTAGCTAGTGTTCGCTGATGAATGAAAGGCAGCGAGGGCCGAACTTGCACTGGGGACAATTCCACCGAATCCCTTCTAGCTCCTCGGCTCTCTGCAGACTCTTCCGGCAAGGGTCACCAGGAATCGGCCGAGATGGTGCAAAACCTGAACACCGCCCTTCCCTTTCTGCAAGCAGAGAAGCGGCTCAAGGCCAGCGGCCCCTTCTCTCCTTTTCAGGTGGTCGACCGAATGGCTAGCGGTGGAGGCTGACGCGGTCATCTCTCCCTCCCTCCCCCTCCCTAATCTGCACCTGCTCGGCGGACACCTTGGGACTCCCCAGCTGCCCCCACCAACAGCCAAGGACACGTGACCACTGCCCCAGCGCGCGCATTCCCCCCCCCACAAGTGGGGCCCATTTTTTGGCGCGCAGCAGTGACGTCAGCGTCCTGTCAGTCGCCACCGCCCCCTCCAGCGGCCAGAGCGACCTCGCGTTTTAAACTTGGCCCCGCCCCGTCCTCCCGCCCGCCCGCCCGCCGCGTCCGCGGGCTCCCGGGACGCGCCGTTAACGGGCCCTCAGCGCCCCGCCCGCCCGCCCGCGCCGGTCACCTTGAGGTGGCTGCTGTCAGGGCTGCTCGCTTCTTCCTCGTCCTCACCCCCCGAGGCGGCGGGTGGGGGCGCGCCCCGGCCCCGAAGCCCCGGGTGTTCGGCGGCGGCGGCCGGCGAGGCTGCCGAGGCAGCGCCCCCCGAGGCCCCGGGGCTGAGCGTCACGTTGTGCGCGTTCTCGCCCCAACGCCACGGGTACACCATGAAGTCGCTGAAGCCCGGGCTAGTGGGGATGAGCGGCGGTGGCGGCTCTGGCTCCCCTCCACTGCCGCACGTGGGCTTGATCGGAGTCGTCCTGATGACCGACACTAGCACCCGCTTCGGGGAGTCGTGGCAGAAGATGACGGGCTGCGGCTGCGGCGGGTTGTCAGCCATTGCCGACTCCACGCCCCGGATCATCGTCGGGCCCCGATCGGCAGCTCCGGCGGCCGGGGGACCACTTCCGTAGTCCGGGTCTAAGCCTTTGCTCCGCTCGCCCGCGCTACTCCCAGTCGCCGGCTTTTAGTCCCGCCGGCTCATGGCTGGCGGACGTTCCCCGGAATTCTGCGCAGCGGGAAGCAAAGGAGTTCAGCTGAGTGGCTCGGCTCCGACACCAAGCGGGCCAGGCTGGATCCCAGCTCCGGGTCAAGCCTGCCCTTCGCTCTTTGTACTGCAGAGGTGGGAAACAGCCCACGGCCTGGCCCTTGCGGTGACAGGAAAGCAGGAGGCGTTGCGCCTAGCCCCCCGAAAATAACAACCTGCCGCCGCGGTCCCCACTCAGGCTTTTCCCGCGTTACATTTCGCGCCTGGGCGGAACCAATCACCGGGAGGCCCCTGTCCGCTGGTCGCAGCGGCGACTGACAAGTCGCGCGAGCCAATGGTCGGGCCTGGGCTTCTTTCTAGCACAGCGGGGCGGAGTCGGGCCTGCGCGCGGGTCCTTCTTGCCCTGCTATTGGTTGCCGCTCTTTATTTTTTTTCTGCCTCTAGGGCCAACTGCGTTCGAAACTTTGGGAGAGCGCGCGACGTAGATACTTGCCCCGACACACCCGCCTGAAGCCCCGCCCACACCCTGTACTGTTTGTTGGGGTTGAGGCTCGCGAGGGCGGGGGCGGGTCTAAGAGAGGTGCTGATTGGAGAGTCTACGGGTAGAGGGTGGGGACGGGGGGTTAGTCGTTGGTCGTCCTGTGGCGCGCGCCCCTTTTGGCTCCGCCCCGCTCGCCTGTGGCTGTTGGTCTGTGGTTCCCGCGCGCCGAGAATTTAAAGGGCTGAGGCGGAGGGGCTATCGCGGCCCTCAGCTCCGGCCACCAATACTAAGGAACGCGAGTTCTTTTACACATGTTCTTGGGAGACGCTCAGTGGTTCCTAGTCTCCTGAATGCTTTCTCCCTGTGAATTCATCCTGTCAGCCCCCGCCCCTGATCGAATTCTCATAGTCGATCTGGGCCTTAGTATCCCCACCTGTGGTCTCCGAAGTCCTCATGTGCTGCTCTCCATGCGAAGGGGACATGAACGCAGGCGTGTCTCCGCTCTCACACCCTGGGCCAGCACCCAAAGGCGTTGTAAAGATACATCCCCACTCCCGCCCCAGGCGGTTCCGGGACCAGATCCGAACGCGGCGGAGTCACTGCAGCCTCTGGGAGCCGGCCTCGCCGTGCCACCGGGCAAGTCCGCCTGACCTTCAGTAGGCTCAGGGCCTCCATGGCACTGCGGGGAGCACACAGCTGTGCTTGACACTCACTAGAATGTGAATTAGAGTGTATTCCCAGGGCCTGACCTACCTCACGAGGAGCTCCGGTGGCGCAGTGGGTTAAGCGTGAGACTCCTAACAAAAATATCTGTGGTTGCAATCCACTAGCTGCTCCTCTGAAGAAGAAAAGGCAGTCTGTTCCTTTTTAAATTGTTAAGTGCCGTCGAGTCAGTTCTGACCCAAGGAGCAACTGGTGAACTTGAACCGCCGACCTTGTGGTTCAAACCGACACTGCAATCCAGCGCTTTAGCCCACAGAGCCACACCAGGACTCCACCCCTTAAAGATTACTGCCTTGAAACCCCTATGGGGGCAGTATCAACTGGATGGCCTTGGGTAACCTACACCAGTGGGCGATCAAGAAATATTTCTTGAATTAATTTCCAGTAGTTAAACTTGGTATTAATACATTAGAAACACTTGTATAACACACACTGTCGATTAAAGTAACCACAATTGGTTTAAAAAAAAATTTTTTTTTTAATTCAATATACTGATATAGAAGGACCTCTGGTAGCGTAGTGGCTACGAATCGGGCTGCGAACCTTAAGGTCGGCGGTTCGAAACTACCAGCTGCTCCGCGGGAGAAAGATGAGGCTTTCTACTCCCATAAAGATTTACACCCTTGGAAACCCTGTACAGGGTCGCTATGGGTCGGAACCGACTCGACGGCACTTAACAACAACAACAATACTGATATAGAACAATCACCCAAGATATCTTTTCAGTGGAGGATGGAAAACAGATCATCATGATTCCACTCATTTTTTTCAAGTCAGGAAAAAATATAAATGTACATTTTTGCTCATAGATATACACAATATCTCTGGCAAGATACATAAGAAATCGATACATAAGTTCTTGATCCATAAATTGACTCCTAAGAGGGTAATTTATATGGCTGATGAATCGCGGTAAAAATTTTTCAAAGGATACAACATATATGTATGTAGCGTTTAAATTTTAGACACAATGAATGCATCTTTTAAATATATACGTTGTTGCTGCTGTTGTCTTGCGCTGTTGAGTCTATTCCAACTCATAACGACAATGTAAAGCCCTGTATAGGGTTTCTGAGAAGCGTCTGGTGGGTTTGAACCACTGACCTTATGATTAATAATCCAGTGCCTATCCTATAGCACCGTGTGTGTGTGTGTGTGTGTGTGTGCGTGCGTGCATACAGCATATTCTTGTTAAGTGCCGTCGAGTTGATTCTAACAGCGCCCCAGTAAAGGGTTTCCGAAGAGCGGCTGCTGGATGGGAACTTCTGACTTTGTTAACAGTGCAATGTTTATCCTACAGCGCTACACCAGGCGTCCATATAGTATATACAGCTACCATTGTCTGGGGTCCTGTTATAAAGCAACTGGGTGCATCATTCGCATGCTATTCCCCTTAATTTATTGAGGTGGTGGTGATGGTGTGCCTTGGAGTAGGTTCGGACTCATAACTACCCTGTCCAGGGTTTCCGAGGCTGTAAATCTTTATGGGAGCAGAAAACCTCATCTTGCTCCCGCGGAACAGCAGGCAGTTTTGAACTGTTGACCTTGAGATTAGCAGCCGGATTGATAACCACCTTGTTGTTGTTATGTGCCATACCTTAATTTTATGAGGTAGATATTATTATTCCCACTTTACAAATGAGTACATTTAAGGTTTGTCCAAGGTCAGATAACTCAAATACATGCTGCTGCTGGTGTGCGGAGGAGTCGGTTCTTGAAGTGTTAACTGCATAGGATTTCCGAGATTGTAAATTTTTATGGAAGTCCTGTTGTGGTTCTGTGGGTTGATGCGCAGGACTGCAAAATCGTTTTGAACCACAAAGCTGGCAGTTTAAGCTCACCAGCCGCTCCTTGGAAATCCTATACAGGGTCGCTATGGGTCAGAACCGATTACACGGCACATAACACCAACAACAAATTTTTACAGGAGCAGAAAGCAGGTAGTTTTGAACTGCTAACTTTGAGGTTAGCAGCCCAGCTGAAACCACTAAGCTACCAGAGCTCCTTAACTCAACATTTAGCAACAGATAATTGCTGTGCCTCAGGGTTGTATTCTTTCACCATACTTAGTCAACCTGTATGCTGAGCAAATAATCCCAGAAGCTGGGTTCTATGAAGAAAAACGTGGCATCAGGATTGGAGAAAGACTCATTAACAACCTGCGATATGCAGATGATACAACCTTGCTAGCTGAAAGTGAAGAGGACTTAAAGTATTTACTGATGAAAATCAGAGACCACAGCCTTTGGTATGGATTGCATCTCAATCCATAACAAAATCAAAGAAAAATCCTCACCACTGGACCAATAAACAACATTCTTACCAATGGAGAAAAGATTGAAGTTGTCAAAGACTTCATTCTTCTTGGATCAACTATCAACACTCATGGAAGCAACAGTTAAGAAATCAGACGACATATTGCATTGGGCAAATCTGCTGCACAAGACCTTTTTAAAGTGTTGAAGAGCAAAGATGTCAGCTTGAGGACTAAGGTGCGCCTGACCCAAGCCATGGTATTTTCAATAACCTCATATGCATGTGAAAGCTGGACAGTGAATAAGGAAGACCATAGAAGAATTGATGCTTTTGAGTTATGGTGTTGGAGAATATGGAAAGTGCCATGGGCTGCCAAAAGAAGAAAAAGATCTGTGTTGGAAGAAATGCAGCCAGATTACTTCTTGGAGGCCAGGATGGCCAAACTTTTTCTCTCATACTTCGGACATATTGTCAGGAGGTACCAATCGCTGGAGAAGGATATCATGTTTGGTAAGGTGGAGGGTCAGAGTAAAAGAGGAAGACCCCCAATGCAATGGATTGGCCAAGTGGCAGCATCAATGGACTCAAGCATGGCAACAGTAGTGAGGTTGGCCCAGGATCAGGCAGTGTTTCGTTTTTTGTTGTGCATAGGGTCACTATAAGTCGGTACTGACTCAATGGCACCTAACAACAACAACAAATTGATTTTGGAAGTATGGCTCTGAAAATTACCCATGGATTACACTTTTGTAAGTCTTCAAAGCAAAAGGAGGAAGGGGCACACACCAAAAGGAGAAAGGGACCATCCCTTTCCCAACATTTTTCATATTCCAAAATTTTTAGGGTTTAGAGACAAACCCACTTTGATATTTTAATGATCTGAAAGGTTGAGAGTCCAGATCTCACTTCAATTAATATAGGAAACATTCATTTTCTCTTTATAATTAAATATGAAATGACTTTATAATATATGTGCCTCTAGCCAGCTAGAAGGGAAATATAGTCCATCTATTTTATACTTCAAACATATGAAAAGGAAACAAGTAATGTATCCATCATGAACACCTAAATTAGGGGTTGAGCAAGATCTAACAGATTAAACATCAACCAACAGATACTGTTTAACATTCAGTACATGTCCCAGAGTGCAAGATGAATCATCCCTGAGCACAGGACATTGACTCCTGCTTCTAAAAATGACTCTTCATCAACAATAACCTGACAGCTTCACTTGCTCTTTACCACAGGCGAATGAAAGATATGCCAGGAATGTGTGAAGTAGGCAGAGGGTAATTCCAAGTACAGAGTGAGGTCATGCAAGATCTTTGCTTTTTGGCTTCTTTTTAATGCAACTAAGTAGTCATCTGAAATGTGTGAATCATATCCCTGATTTCTCTGTTCTGCCTCAGATATAGCCAATAGCTCATAATATACTACCTGAAGAATACTATCACCAATCTCAGTATATTTACTATGCTATATTACTACTTTGGCCATATTGTCAGGAGGGACCAGTTGCTGGAGAAGGATATCATGTTTGGTAAGGTGGAGGGTCAGAGAAAAAGAGGAAGACCCCCAACGAGATGGATTGGCAACATGGCAGCATCAATGGGCTCAAGCATGGCAACAGTAGTGAGGTTGGCCCAGGATCGGGCAGTGTTTCGTTCTG